TTAAATATGAAATATCAAAATTTGATACTCCGTACCCCAGTAGTGGCTTTGTTTTGTAAGAGCGTTTTCGATTAGCGTTAGCGTTTTGGATAAAATTTCAACAGTACAGATTAATTTTGAAAACGCTAAAGTCTACCGTCGGATAACTTTTTGAAAACGCTAACGCTAATCTCTGACGCTGATGCCAAACGGGGCCAGAATGTATTCTAAAAAATATGGAGTAACAAATGCATGCCTTTCTACAATTTCATTTTTTCTTATTTTATGGTAAGTGTGTGTGTGTAGAGAGATTGACTCCGGTGAGATGACACCTTATGGTAAGATGGTGCTAAAGCTCACTCCTGATCACTGCAAAGCTCACCACTGATCACTTCAAAACTCACCACTGTCCACTGCAAAGCTCACCATGATTTTCCAACACTTTACTTTTTTCAAAATTTGATGGTTAAATGCTCACAAAGCCCATCAACAAATCTCATAGACTCTCATTGCAAAGCTCATCGAATATGTGCACAAAGTTCACCACACTTTAAATTTTAAAATGACTTCAAAAAAAGAGGTGTTGACTTCCAACCGCTGCAGACTACCGCCTTGGACCGGTGGTTGACTGATGGTGCAATTTTATTAGCTTTTTTTAAAAATGTGATGAGCTTTGCATTGTTCTTTTGTGAGCTTTGCATTGACAGTTGGTGAGCTTCGCATTGACAGTTGGTGAGCTTTACACTTTGACCGCCCATGACCAATGGCCACCACCGATGACCCCCACTGTCGCCGTGGACCAGTGGTTGAGCGGTGGTTGACTGGTGGTTGAATGGTAGTGCTATTTTTTCTTTTTTATTTTTAAAAAAAGTGGTGAGCTTTGCATTGTACTTGGTGAGCTTTCCTTTGGCAGTAGGTGAGTTTTGTATTGGCAGTTGGCGAGCTTTCCATTGGCAGTGTTGTGTTATCTGATTGAAGCATGTCATCTTTTGTATTGGAATATATATATATATATATATATATATATATATATATATATATGGCATGTTAGAGATTAACGTTAATGTTTTGAAAAGGCTATCTACGAGTAGCGTTTTCAAAGTAATCTGAATTGTTAAAATTTTATCATAAAGGCTAACGTTAATCTCTAACACTATTCTCAAACATACTCACTATCAATAAAATGAAAAGTGTCTTTTAACAATGAAATAAACATTATGCAATTATTAAATGTCCTTGAATGATCAATTTTGTAATGGCCAAATAGAGCCAGTACCCCTCGTTGTTTGCAAAACAAGCACCAATACCTAGGGATGGCAATTTTACCCGAATCCGACTTTTTCCGACCCGACCGAAGTATATAATATCCGAATCCGACCGAAAAAATAAATATCTGAAACCGACCCGAAGATTTTAAAACCGAACCCGACTTTTGTCGGGTCGGTTTTCGGTAATTAAATTTGACCGACCCGACCCGTACCCGACCGACCCGATAATTAACCCGAAATAAAAGGCCTTTTTAAAATATAAAAAAAACCTTTTTCAATTAAAAGTCTTTGACTTACGGGAATTACCGGTTACGGACTTGAAAAATATTTGTGAAAACTTGTTATATTTATGTGTGTTGTTTCTCTTGTGAAATATTTGTGAAAACTTGTTATACTTCCATGTTTTGGTTGTTATTTGGGATACATCTTTTTTAATATCTTAATTTTACGATGTCTTTGAACGTTCAAATGTTTTTATGTATTGGAATTCTATTTATATCATTACTTGCATTTATTAATTTATCATTATTTTAATAAAAATCATTACAAAAAACTGATTTATTAGGATATTGGTATGGTCAGTTGGTCGGGTCGGTCGGTTTTCAGATCGGGTTAGGCTTAGTTTTTTGTCAAATTCTCGGGTTCGGTTGCGGTTTCGGGTTTCGGTTTAGGCAGTCGGGTTCGGGTAGAAATTTATATCCGACGGTTTGGGTTCAGGCAAAAAAAAAATATCCAATCAAAATTTCGGGTCGGTTTCGGGTAAGGGTATATCCGAACTGAACCCGACCCGTTGCCATCTTTACCAATACCCCCTCTGTTTTCAAAACTCATTTTTAAAGTCCCTATGCTTTCAAAATGCTGCACTCGTGCCCCCTCTGATCATTTTTCCGGCCATTTTTCCGGCGAGGAGGGGGGTATTGGTGCATGTTTTTTAAACCATAGGGGGTATCAGTGCTGATTTTTATTTCTTGCATATTTTTTGTTTTTTCCATTTTTTCCATTTTTTCCTTTTTTATTTCATTTATTAATAAAGATTTTTTTATAATGTTTCTTAAAATTTAAAGTTACTTTTGTTAGAAAAAATTAAGATATAATGCATATGTACGTCTCAAATTAACAATTTTTGTTTTTTCTGAAAAAAAGTAAATTTTTTTTGAGACTTCAAGAAATGAGGAATAAAATAAGAACCGTCAATTTTGCGAACGGAGCACCGGAGGTGCCCCAAAATGCCAGTGGCACCGGAGTGGCACTGTACTCCGGTGTCACTAGAACCCCACCAAATTTCTAAATATACATATGCCTAAGATACTCTAAACACCATAGATATACGTACTCCGTATCATATATACTACTTCCGTCCCAGAGTATTTATCCACTTTCATTTTTACACACCATCCAATACACTTCTTTAATCCATTTTATCTTATAATTTGTATATTAAAAAATTATAGAAATTATATATTAATAATCTATATGTTAAGATAAATCAAACAAGATCACACATGACTATATTTAGGCTTACACATTGAGAGAATTTGATGAGTCAAAGTGCTTAGATGCACAGTTCCAAAAGTCAAAAGTGGACGAATACTTCGTGACAGAGGGAGTATAATATAAATTCAAGTAATTCTAGAATCACAAACAAATAATTTACAAAATTTATAAATTTACATTTTACGAGAAATAAGATGAACTTAAATAATAAATGCTATTTTGATTTAAAATCTACAAAGACAAGTTTGTAAACTATTTGTTTGTGACTCTAGTATTTTCATATAGATAGTCTTCCTAACAAGTGAGTTTACTTTTGACTGAAAGTAAAGGAAAATATATGCTCTCATTAATCATTTTTATTTATTAATCATTTTTATTATTATTAATATGCTCTCATATATGTTCTCATTAATCATTTTTATTTATTCCCCATAGATATTTTCATTACCTTTTTAACATTTAAAATATCATAATTATCTTACTTAATTTTCTATTATACTTCACACTTGGTGCACCTCATTAAAAGTGTCTTTTTTTTATAAAGTTTCTCTTTTTACCTCTTCTTAAATAACAAAGAAAGTCAAAATAAAAACATTGATCTTAAGGCACGGAGAGTATAAAAAATACGGAGTAGCTAGGCAAAATAGTAATAGTACTGTAGTTCGGAGTATGTAGTTGATTCTATCTCCGTCTCGTGTATTTGTTCAGTTTGAATTTTTCAAGTCAAACTTGACAAACTTCGAATTTCAATTACTCTCAATAAATATTACGGAGTACATATTATCATAATGAAATACAATTTTGAAAGTTTTCAATACGATAAATCTAATAAAGTCATTTTTATGTTAAATTACATTATAATTTTTCTTAAATTGAAGCTCAAAATACATTACAGTTTGACTTTAAAAAATCAAACTGGACAAATACACTGGGACGGAGGGAGTAATTAAAAACATGGAGTATCAAAGTTTCATGTCAAACAACAAGACGATCCACAATATAATGGTTCGTCAAATATTACTCTCTCCGTCCCTGAAAACTTTTCTTCTTTCTTTTTTCATCCGTCCCAAAAAACACTTCTTGTTTCTATTAAAAAGTCATTTTTACCCCTTACTTTTTAATAGACCTGTCAAAAAGTGACCCGACCTCTTTTTGACCCGAAACCCGACCTGAAAACACTGGGTTTTGAACAAAGGTTTTGATGACCGAACCCGAAGTTGACCGAACCCGAAATGACCCGCTAAAAATGGGTCAAACCCGACCGAACCCGAACCCGACCTGACCGACCCGCTAAAGTAAGAATTTTTCAAAATTGTACACTTTTTTACTCGTTTTTAGTGTATAAATTTATATTTTCAGACAAAATTTTAATGATATTGCATAATTATCTTACTTTTTCCCCAAAACATAAGCATTTTTAAATTCCTTATATTGATTTTTATATCTAAATACTACTTTAGAGTTTACAATAAAATAATTTTATAGATTTAATACTTGTTTTTGATATTTTAAATTTATTAATGTGAATTTAAAAATTTAAATAACCAAAGTCATAACCCGTTGGGTCGACCCGAACCCGATGACATTGGGTTATGAACATAGAGTTCTCAACCCGAACCCGAATTGACCCGAACCCGAAATAACCCGAACTTGAAGTGACCGAACCCGAACCCGACCTGACCGACCGATTTGCCAGCTCTACTTTTTAATACCAAACCTATCACATCATACATTTTTATTAATAATTTACTCATCAAATCCTACTTTTACCCATTACACCAAAGAACATTTTTGGAAATTCAATACCAAAATACAAACAACAACAACAACTCAGTTAAATCCCATAAGAGTAGGGTCTGGGGAGGGTGTGTGTACGCAGACCTTACCCCTACTCGAAAGTAGAGAGACTGTTTCCAAAGAGACCCCCGGCTCAACGTCAAAAGTTGCATTGCTTGACTAAGTGCTACTTCATTAATTAAAGAAGCGCAGACAATTTAGAGATCCGTTTTGATTTATTCCATCACACCCCAAAGCCAAAAAATGGTAAAATTTTGGCTCCATCGGAGTTGATGGAAAATCAATACCAAAATACACGTATCTTAAATCTCTTTAAAAATCATTAACTCCCATGTTTTTAGGACCGGAGGGAGTATTTTGCAAGTAGGAAAATATACTACTTCCCTTTCACGAAATAGTTCCTCTCTAATTTTTTGTGTATCCTCAAAACATTTTTATCTCACTTAAAATATCTAAAATACACTCGCATTTCATAGTTTATTACTAGTAGAAGTTGATTTGAGAATATTTTAGACATTTTAGTTAAAACAGGAGTGTGTTATAGGGTACAAGAAAAATTAGGATGAAATTGTTTTGCCAGAGAAAGAAAGTATATAACATCCACGTACAAAACAAGTAATAATCCTTAAATGTTTGGATGGTGCAAATTAATTAGGCAGTTGATTCATGGAGATAAGCAATGAGATCAGCCCGATCCTGCGCCTTCTTTAGTCCAGGGAAATCCATCTTCGTCCCTCGAATATACTGCATGCGGGCCATGGGAAAAAACAAAACAATATTAATAGTTTATTGTACTATACAATAGTTTGCAAGATTATTAATATTTGAATGAAATAACACCTTTGGCAAATTAATTAAAGATACCTACACATATAACAATAGAAGCTTGTAATCTTCCCCAACACAAATGACACCAATAGTTTTTTGGCAATTACGGTGCTCCGATCCGTTCGTAGAATTGGTGATTTTTACTCCCTAAATTGTTAATTTCACCCCTCCACACCCCCTCTGATGCATCCCCTAGATTGGAGGGGGAGGGGGCAAATCAGCAATCTAAGAGGGGGCGGGGCGAGATGAAATTGATGGGTCTAGAGGGTTAAGAACCAAGGTGAGTCTCAAAAAATGAAAAAAATGAAATTGGCCCCGAAATTTACATTTCGGACTCCATTTTATTATTTTAGAATACTTATGCTTCAAAATTAATGATGAATTTAAAAATACGGGGCTCTAACATTTTATATATGGACCACGTGTTGTTGACTACTTTTCACACCCTCGAGACCACCGAACCATCAATTTTACGTACTCCAAAACCACCTATGCCCCGATGTTACACCAGTGTATAACATTAGATTAGAGGTTCACTGTAACAATTTCTATAAAATTAAACGATGTCAAAATGAAACCAGATGCATGTAAAGCTAGGTAGGTGGCTCACCGTCTTCGGGTGGAGCAAGTAGTCAGATAGTGTTTCCTCTCTCCAGACGACAGCCTTGTCCTTGTTTGAAGCCGAGTAAGAGTAGTTGCTCGGAGTCGTCCCAGATTGTCTCCCGAACAGTCCATTCAAGTTGGGTCCTTGTTATTAGCCAGTATTACATATATATATGTTTAAAACAAAAGGAAAGTTTACCCGAGCCTCCTACGGTGCTCCGATCCAAAACCCCGTGCCCCACTGTAGCCAATCGGGGAAGGGGAAGAGGGGCCACGGGATTTAAGGTGTTATATTAGAGGGGCCGTAGGAACCGTCAAATTTTTTTTCAAACTGAGCATCGTATGTATGGAGCTCGTTCTCGGGTTGTCAAGCGTGCGCGCGGATATACGAATGTGAAAGCGGATAAATGTGAGGTACCTTGCTTGTGGCCGGCGGCGGCGGCATTAACTTGGGCATCATGACACTGAGCGCATTTGGCGCTGTAGATCTGATAGCCTTTGGTGCTGTTCCCGTGATGAGCTTCGAAGCTGCTGAAGGTCTCCGCCATCTGTGAGGACGAACCAGAAAGAAAGCGAAGCCAATTAGCCTTATTAATTAGCTTCTTTTCCGAAATCTATTAGTATCTATATATTCCCGGCGGGGAAGAAATGGAACGGGCGATCGTCTTTATATTATTCTACAAAAATCTTGACCAAGAAAAATCAGATGTAAGAAATATTTTGGGATGAAGGGAGTAATAACTTCCTTGCGAGTTCCTTTCTTTCATTTGTTTCCTTCCTAGTTACTGCTCCCTCGTTTGGGAAACCACTTCCTAATTTGACATCTACTAATTCTTACTCTATCTAGCAATCACATTATAGCTTTTTATAAATAATCTACTCATCATATTATAATCTCTCCCTAAAATTTTCTAAAAGTCTAAATGCGAGCATCTTTATGGCATGGATGAAGTACTCCGTATTTGTTTACATGTTTTTATTATTTGTTTGATAAGATTAAATATTTTTGTCGCATCTTATTTTGTAGAATTTTGAATGTAATTTTAAATAGTTTAATTTACACTTTTTAATTTATTGCATGATGTATCAATTTGTAAATAAATTAATTATAAAAAAGATGTTATTTTATACATTGTTCAAAATGGGAAGAAACCAGATGGACGGAAGAAGTACATTTTTTCACTTCTTATAAACTTTTTATTCCTTCTCAAATATTTTTTTCTTCACTCATAATTATAAATCATTCTTTAGAATAACATTGTCACTTTCTTGTTTTATACTCCCTTCTCAAATTAAATTATATGTTTACTCTTTACACGATCAAACTTTATTCATTTTGTTTCTCTATTTTTATTAGTCATTTGACAAAATAATATAGTCATGTCACCACTAATTTTGCAGATATTTTGATGTAGTTTTTAAATATGTAATTTTTTATTTTTTAACTCTATATCATCTTTTATATGAAATGATTTGAAAAAATAATTTAAGTCAAATATCACTTACTCGGACACAATTTAAATTAGATTGGAGAAATTAGAGAAATTGAAATTTAGTACTCCCTCCGTCCCAAATTATTTGTCGTATTTGCTTTTTCAACAATCGCGGGAACTTTTGTTTATTTCTACGTTTTCATTGGTTATTTGATAAAATTAAATATTCTTAACGCCTCTTATTTCAAAGAACTTTTCATGTAGTTTTTTGATATGTAATTTTTATTTTTTATTTCTTTATCGATATGTAAATAAAATGATTTGAAAAAATTTAATATTTCACCTCAATAATAAAAATGTGACAAATAATTTGGGACGGAGAGTAGTATTTGGCTGAGAACCTGAGATCAAACAAAAAACGCGGCCCCTATCCTGGCCAAAAATACGGAACTTAACCTTTGTGATGGCGGCACGTCTTGGCCGTAGAAATTATCTGCATTGATCTTTATGCTCTCCCTCTCTTTGACTCCAAATATATACTTCATCCCTTCCTAAATAAATTTTCCCTTTTCGTTTTTTCTTTGTCTCTAAATTAGTTTTTTTTTCTATTAAAAAACCTTTTTTACCCTTACTTTTTCTTACCATACCTATCACATCATAGTTTTTTTCTAATAATCCACATATCACATCTTACTTTTACACATCACATCAAGAGTATTTTTGGAAAGTCAACACAAAAATATCTCTCCCTTAAATGTTCAAAAAGTCAAAAAGGGAAGTTTATTTAGGAACGGAGGGAATATATTGCCTTCATCTCTATTTTTAAGATTGAGCTATCTGTACATCAAAAATGTCAATGTAATTTTTTTTAATTGAACTAACATTTTCCACCCGTGTGAATTGTTAACATGTTAGTACATTTTCTTTTGGGTACACTTTTGGTGTACTTCTAGCAAGGTTGTTGTTTTTATTATAAATTAAGAATTACGAAGTTAAATTTCATGATTTTTTAAATTACTTTATTTAAAAAGTTATAGATCAATTAAAAATAAAAATTATATATTAAAAAACTAAGTCCAAAGTTATACAAAACAAGAAATGAAAAAATTATTTTATTTTATCAAATAATCAATCAAAATACATAATTAAACAAAAATTGTCGAGATAAAAGAGAAAATAATCAATCAAAATACATAATTAAACAAACGGGCCCTACATGGACATTAGGGGCACACGCAAGTTTTCCACCATAGCCATCATTACGGGCATATAAGTCTTAAAGTGTAATTTTGTATATGATCATTCCTAGTTAGAGCTAATGATGTGTATTAATGAATAGTCAAAAGCATATTATCTAAAGTCTAAACTATCATATGTGTATTGGTCGGGTAAATTTCACCCATGTTATACGAACTTTCATCATTATTTCACTTCGGTATATAAATTTTAATTTCTTTCACAAAAGTACACGAACTTTCAACATTCTTTCGCCAGTGGTCCAATAGGCGATTTTTAGGTCACCTTCAGATCATTTGGGGTCAAATTATAATTTTATAAATTTATATTTTTTTATTTTGACCCCATCCCTCCCCCTTTTCTCTCTTCCTCTTTCCCAGCCAGCCCCCCACCCCCCACGCACCCCCAACGCACCTTCCATTCTTTTCTTCTTCTTCTTCTTTTTTCTTCTTCTTCTTCTTTATTTAATTTAAATTTAAATAATGTTTTTAGAGAGACAATCATATGCCTTTTTTTTAGAGAGACGCGGAGGAGAAAGAAGGGAATGGAAGGGAATTTGGTCATCTTTTTCCATTTTTCTTTTTTTTTTTGATACAATTTGATAACAACTTGTCTTATTGAATATTGAGAGATATGGCCCTATATATAGGGAATACAAGAGTAATCAAAGTACAAGTAGGAAAGGAAAGAATAATCCTAGTAGGAAAGGAAAGAAGTATCCTAATTTAATTATACTTCCTAATATCCCCCCGCAAGCTGATCAACGGAGACGAGGGGCAGCTTGGAACATAAGTACTCAAAAGGAACTGGCGGAAGCGGTTTGGTAAGAATGTCTGCTAGCTGCTCTGAGGAGGAAACATGATGTGGAGTCATAGTGCCTGCCATAACCTCATCTCGTACAAAGTGACAGTCTGTGCCCACATGCTTCATGCAATCATGAAGAACTGGATTTTTGGTGACACAGATAGTCAACTCATTGTCACAGTATAACTTCGGTTTGGACGGAGGAATACCCAGTGCATCAGTGATATATCGAAGCCACATAGCTTCTGCAACCCCTGCAGCCATAGCTCGATATTCAGCTTTA